CCGAACCTTTCGATTCGGGACGTGACCAAGAAGGTCAATTCTTCCGTCTGGTTCGTCCAGCAGTCAATGAAGCAGGCTGCCTTCCTTGCCTTAAAGGCATGAATAAGGCAAGGAAGGCGCCTAACTGAACTGATAAACAGAATACCGTGGCCAAATTCCGCGTCAGGATGCTGTACCACGAGTTGTTGGTGTAGCCGAAATGCATCGTAATGAACAACGAGACGTACATTAAAGCAGACGCCAAGCAGAACCATGGCCTGGAGTTTTTTTTTGTTGGGAAGTCCTACCTGGATGTTACGGAAAAGTTTCGGAAGAAGAAGGTCGAATTTTCCAAGAAGTACTTAGTGTGGCAGGCGATCTGTTCGTGCGGCAAATGCAGCAAGCCGTACATAACGACCGGCACCATCAACGGCCAAATGTCTCCAGATGTACCTGCTGTCCTTCCTCCGGTCCCACGAAGGTGACACTCTGTTTTGGTCAGATCTGGCATCGTGTCATTACGCGAAATCGGTGATGGATTGGTACGAAGCCAACGATGTTGTTTTTCTGCCGAAGGAGGCAAATCTCACCAGAACTTCACCCGATAAAAAAATTCTGGGCGATTATGAAGGGAAAGCATGAAATTCAAAGCAAAATTGTGATTTTACCATTTCTGCTGATTTTTCAACGTTATTATTCACTGACTTCCAATTTTTTCCTTGATTTGTTTTCCGTCGATCTTGTTTTCCGTGCTGAGCACCAAAGCTATCGACGATAGGGAGACAGCTCCCACACCTGAACCATACCTATCGATCCATCAACTCATGAACCGGGGACCAACAGCTTTACTTCCCACCCAAAGGAAGGTGTGATCAGAGATGTTATGCCTCAGAAGATCCCGACGGCGCCGACTTGGATTGAAGCCAAGCCTGCTGGGGTGTGAGGTAATCACGCTTACCACTTTACCACCGGCGCCGCTGGGACTGACTACAGTAAATGCGTCGTCGAATTTGGAAAGCAACCTTTTCTTGATTAGTGTGTGAGTGCTGACCACGTTTTGCGTCCATTGCTGCAATATAAACGCTTTGCCCCACGATGGCGTAACTTCCATACAATGAAACCACTGGAAGCGGCTCCAGTTCTGATGGAGGAGTCTTTTTGGATAGCGGAAGATAAAGGGTTTAGTGTGTTGTACCTGTTGACTATAGTTTTAAGATGTATTGTATAGAATCCTCGGCTCTATAAACCTAATTCGGTTGAGCCTTATCAAATTAATTAATGAACAAAAAAATAAATGTATTGTTTCTAAACAGTTAAAATAACAATCTGGCGAACTTCAACTTCAACAATAGAAAAATGTAAACAAACAAACACATCATATGTGTGCGTGACGTTGAGATATGCCTAATAGAAGTGCAGATGCTGCTAACATTGACGAGAATACGTAAATTCCTCTTGCTTATATCGGAATCGAGAAAAAAAATACAAAACAATTCTCATTAACACACGTGTATCATCTTTGGCGCAACTTCGTGAAGCAGCTTGCCTACAATATGGTCGTTTCCTTCTACCGGCCCGAGCGAGCTTTGTTGCAAAGGCAGTTTGTCATGAAAAAAGGGAAACAGATTATATCATTATTGTGTTCCATTTCTGACATAGCGTTATCATTCGGCTCGTTGATCGCTTGTCATTTTATCATTTCGAGATATTTAATAATAAATAATAATATTAATAAAACAATGTTATCATGAAAATTTAAAAACGTTCCAATATAAATATGAAATTATCCATAAACTTCGGTGATTTCTATGGAACATTATATCATATATTGGCTCATTTTACATTTTGTTTTTAACATTTCACTTTTTTTAGGGAACATTTATTCGCTTTATGGGACATTTCAGTTTTAAAAGCTTCTTTTGGGGAGAACCACGGGCAAAACAGTAAACCTATGCACCAGAAAAAAAAACTTAAATATTCCCTAACAAAGAAGAAATATCCCAAAACAAAATATGATATATTTCCTGAAAAATATGCAATGCTCCAATCGAAAATCGAAAATATATTGATTATAAAATATTGCATGTGCAAAAAAAAAAAAAAAAATCTGCTAAAATTAGAATGATTTTTATGGAACATTTTTTTTCTTTTTGACAGGCACATTGAACTTTTTCATTGGCCCATTTAAAATTTTTAGGGAGTATTTAATCTTTAAGAACCTGTTTTTGAGCGTTTGGCCGTCGCCCGCTTCTCTTAAAAAAAAAAAACGCGACTGTAAATCCACAAACAAACAGATATATTACTCACAAGTTATCCATCGAATACACATTTGACAGTCAATTTTATGTTTATTTTTAGTTGCCAATACCGCCACCTGTAGCGCACATAGTCTATTCCCTTGCGTTCGACTTTTGCACACTACCACCATCTGTTCAGAGTGCGGCCCATCACAGTATACAGATGGCGGTAGTGTTTAAGCGTCGATGTTTAATAGCGAAATATTCGATGTTTTATGTCTGTTTGTCAGTGGTTAATCTATGCATCAAGAAAAATATGAAATGATACCTAAAAATGATGAAATGTTTCCTAAAAAATATGAAATGCTCCAATAACAATTCTAAATGTATAATTTAAAAAAAAAATTATTCCAGCCAGTTTATTAGTAAACAAGGATTATCTTGTTAATGAACAAATTTCACCAATTAATGTATAAACATTAATATTTAGTACATGGAATCTTTCAAATGGTCTTTAATCGATAAAAAAAATGAAAGACGAATTTTCTGATGAAACATTATCAAAAATTAATCTTATCTAGTATTTTGGTACATATTTTCCGATTCCTGGGAATTCCAAACCACTGTTTTCCGAATACCAGGTAGCAGTTGGCTCGATTCGAACTCGACCGTGTATATTGCTACAAAGCAGTTTTGGCGTAATATAATATTTTATATTCTTTCATTTATTAGCTTTTAGTTGATTTTTAAACGTTTTAAATTTTTTGATTTGTTTTTTGTGTGATTTGTTAAACTTCCCAGCTTGGTTAGAAGTTTCGAAGCTAACGCATGTTCATAGGTCTAATGGATAGATAGGCAGAAAAAAGGGTATACTGAAGAATATCTCGATCGACCTTCTACGATTATGTTGAAACTTTGCACAGCTGTTTGTTGTTGTCCATCATGCCATTTTACATATTTGGTTCCCTAACTTTGTACACGATTAACACTTGAAAAGGGCATATGCAAAAATGATACACATCAATAGAAAAACATATATCTCACGTACGATTTGTTTGATCGAGATGGGATGGAGATTTGTTGGAAGTCACAAAACTTGTCCGCAACTCCGCCGAAGACACCATCTCGATCAAACAAATCGTTCGTTTTTTTATGTTGATGTTTATGTTTTTCTATTAATGTGTATCATTTTTACACAAGCCCTTTTCAAGTGTTAATCGTGTACAAAACTAGGGCACCAATTATGTCAAATGGCATGTTCTACAATAACAAACAACTGTGTAAAATAACAAGTATTTCTTAAAACATCGATTTGAAACGATTTGCGAATCTGCTGTGAATCAGCTGCGTAAAATACATTTGTGATAAAATCTTATTGAGACCATGATTAAGGCGTGTAGAATACTTTAAACCCTCCATAAAACTTGAAATGTTACTTGGGTTTAGTCACGTTTTGTCTGCAGTCAATATTTTATTTTATATTTCCTGTAATTATAGTAAATAATAGATAATTCAGCCATATATAGGAGTAAATTCGATCATTCGAGTGAGACCCTTCGTTTTTGTTTGTTTATATTTTATTTTAAAAAGGATTGGAATTAAAATTGAAGAGCTCGGTTAGCTTGACCGCTACCGCTTTTGCTTACTGAGTAGAAGATCGTAGAAGAAAGTTAAAGGAGATACATGACAGTTGCCAGTATGCAACCTACAAATTACTCCGTTACAAACGCAGCGGAACGCAAAAGTAGTAGCAAACGTTTTGTCTTTATCGTTGGTTGCTTTATGTGTTTGGATCCGCTGGGCTGGATACGATTGGAAGCTCTTACTAATCCGCCACACGATGCTACGGATGGCACCGAACGTGTTAGCCAAATCGTGGTTCAAGGCGGTTGGGTTGGCCCAAATGGTTCTCATGACACTTCACCGCAGTTGACGGTAGGCAGTTCCAGTCTAATGTTTGATTTGAAATTTTCTGCCATCTTTATTGTTTCTGAGTACATTTTTCAGTACACTCAGGTCTTTTTTTACACGGGGGATACGTACCGTGTAAAAAAAAACCTACGAGATTTTGATTTTTCGCATGCTTAAATGTTTTTAAAAAATCGGATTTTGATGCCATTTGTAATTAAAGGATGATATGGTCCATATTGACATATTTTAAAAATTTCTGTATTTACACCAAAAACTGTGATTTTTTTTAAGTATGCCATTCGATTACAAATAGCTTGAAACGGATAATGTGATTGGAATCAAGTCAATAGGTTGTATAGTTGTCGAGAAATCGTTAAAAACGTACCGTGTAAATCGTGGAAAACCGTGTAAAAAAAACCGTGTAAAAAAAGACTTCAGTGTATGGTATTCCAGATCTTTCGTAAGCTTAAAAACAGACCATATTAGCATCATGTTATTCTCTTATAAAATAACTGGAACACGAAAGATTTGCGTAACAAAAGTAGTATTATTGCAAACACGATGATGCCAAAAGTAGGCTATTCCCTTAATAGCTGTAATAATCGATTTTTTTATTCCATTTTCAAATGTATCATGTTGTTTGTTCAGTATCTATTAATTTTTTCAAAACCGGTTTTCTAACGCCTTTCCCGGATTTGATTTGTCTCTATCAATCTATATGTTTTCTAAAAATAAACGTGGTATCAACAACCCTGGAGAAAAATCTCTAAGGCTCCAGAACGATTAATCTAAATAAGAGAAGGCGTGGACAAACGCATATAGAATGAATATAAAATATATTTTTTTATAATATTTATTTTCTTTTTTATTCTAAACGAATTAAACTTAATTTCAAAGAACACAAGTAATTTGAACTCATATGAGTCTGACTGGGTTGGATGTTGGGTCACATTGTACCTGACACGGTAAACACACCGGATTTACTGCTGTAGGTTGCGTACGTATTCGAGAGCCCGCAGAATGGCCTCCGGGATCGGGGGTGGAGTTGGCAGATGATCACCACGGGGCACAAATCCATTCTCATCGGCATTATAATCGACACGGTACCGAACACCATCATCTCCTACGTATTCATAGAAGCCCTTGGCACGAAGAGTTTCGCTATCGGTGTCACGGTCCTCAAGCCGTCCCGTTTCGGCAACCTGGGCATCCTGTTCGGTCAGGTAGCGGTAGTAGTATCCGTCGTTGTTGTACTGCTTAACCTGTTCCTTGATGCGATCGAATCCGGTACCACTTCCTGACGAGGTCGACGAGAACGATGGGGTCTTTGGCTTCTGAGCCGAGACCCTTGGTGGTAAAGCTGGAGCGGTCACTTGGACTGAACCGGCTCCATTAAAGCGGCTTCCTACGGCGGATCCCGTTTTTGAACCTTTATAGGATTAAATACCAAATTGTTACTATCCACTTTTCAGTTGAAATTTGTAAGTTTTACCAGCTGCAGAACCAGATCCAGTCTTCGAACCAGCACCAGCCTTCGAACCAGCACCAGCCTTCGAAACAGCTCCTGCCGCGGAACCAACACCAGCCTTCGAACCAGCTCCTGCCTTGGAACCAACTCCAGCGTTGAAACCAGCTCCTGAACCAGATCCAAATTCTGATCCAGATCCGAATCCACCCCCGGATCCAGCGCCACCTGCTCCACCCTTTCCTCCGAATCCAGATCCAGCGCCACCGGCACCGCCTGATCCTCCCTGTCCACCTACACCATATTTACCATCCCTGAATAACAAAAGCAACTTATATATAACATGTTGCTTACATTATAGAGAGCAAATGCAAAACTCACTTGTACGGAACGTATTTACCAGTGTACCGACCCCCATCATCTGATCTGTACGCTCCACTTTGATCCGGGCGGTACTTTCCATCGTTGTACTTTCCTTGGTAAAGCTCCGGATAATAACGTCCGTCATTATAACGGGCATCCCTGACCTGTTGAGCAACGGCATAGCCCACGATTGCCAGCTGCAAATAATGAATCGTGCTATTATTGAACTTTTCACACTTAGAGGTGCTAAGTATCGCAGCATTCCACCGAAAACTCGTTTCATTGCCGAATTTCTGCGGCTCAACTTTTGACACACATCTGTCACATTTGTAGAATCAGTCTAAATCAGCCGTCCAATCCGATTAGAACTTACCAAAATCAAACACTTCATTTTGACCTTATGAACTTAGGTTGCCTAAATGCACTCGCCTGCGAGCGACGAGCCGAATAAAAAAGCTAAGATCTAAACTCTACCAAAGCAGAGGAACTAATGCAATAACATCCTCGACCCGAAGCAGCTTATATAGTACGATATAAATATGAACTAACCTCCGATTATGTTCCGATCCTGAGCGACTGTTTTCCGCGCGCTCATCATTCACGACCTGCGATCACGTTGCACTATGTAGTATATGTAGGTACAAGTTTCGGGTCAGTATAGTCAATCGAATGGTTTTCAAAAAATCGGAGAAAAGAGCTGCAGGTTTCGGTCGGCGACGCGGAATACTTCGATCTACATATATTATCCATTTCAATATATTAAGGGGCAGCCGGTGGCGGTGGGGTCGCCATCGTCATCGTTCTGATCCAGAATGGGGCTTGGCTCCTGTGGGGCATCCTAAACTGGATATTGATCCCCTCCCCGTATACCAGTCTGGATGTTTACAAGAAGCGATTATGGCTGTGGTGAAGCAAGAGCTTCTTTTTTTTCTAACTTATACAGTTTTGAATCCAGTTCATCGATGGCAGATGAAACCAAGTTCCGGGATCAAAAAGTTTTTTTTTAAGGGTGAAATGGTATTAGTTAGGAACCATGGATGTGGGGACACCAAACATAACTGCATCCAACCAGATTTACACTATGGGTACTGGTTTGGAGCGGGGGTATATATTTGAAACCTTATATTGCGGAAGGCCAAATTAGTAACTCGATACTTTATGATTACAGTGGGGAATCCTTATTCCCGGATGGTTTTTTCTGTTCGTTTTCCTTTATCTGGTTTTCCTAAATTCTTGAACATCGACAGTAGGAATGCTGACCGCATATGGTACACTTATAAGCGATCCTACGGCGTCCAGGAATCCGGATAAAAATACAGTCAAGATTCCGATAACTCGATTAATTGGGACCGTGCTATAGAAATCAGAACGGTATATGGTAATTGAGCTATTTGGGACTCAACTCTCATTTTGGGGATATTTAAATGTTAACCGGTCTACACTGATTGGCGACTGAGTTAATTTAAAGTTCTTGAGCAGATAGTTACATTAGATGAACTTAGAGTTATTTGTTTTTCATTAGGAAAATCGGCTGGAGTACATAATGTTAATCCTAGAGTTATTCAAGATTGCTTTCATGTCATTGACCACATTTTGCTGGACCTTATTAATGAATCATTACAAACTGGACAAGTGCCACAAATTTGGAAGGAATCCTTAGTGGTCCCTATTTAAAAAGTTGCTGGAACGATTAAAGCCGAAGAGTTTCGTCCCATTAACATTGTTGCACACATTAGAGAAAATTTTAGAACTGGTTGTTACAGGCCAGCTGTTGGAGTATTTAAATAGTAATAGTTTGTTGATACCAGAACAATCGAGGTATCGGGAAGGTCATTCTTGTGAAACCGCGTTGAATTTGGTATTAGCGAAGTGGAAAAATAACTTGGAGTGTAAAGATACGATTGTTGCTGTTTTTGGATCTAAAACGCGCTTTTGAAACAATTTCTAGACCCTTATTGTTAAGATCAATCAAGCGCTTTGGAATTACGAGTACTGCATATAAATGGTTTGAAAGCTATTTGTCTGACAGAACTCAACGAACTTTTTTTTTAATGATTCTGTTTCCAGTCTCGTGGGGAATAACCTTGGAGTGCCCCAGGGAAGTGTATTAGGGCCCCTGTTATTTATTATGTATATGACTTTCGGCGTGTTTTACGATTTTTCAACATTAATCTTTTTGCAGATGATACTGTGTTATTCATTGCAGCTAAGGACTTAGATGATGCCGTTTTACACTTGAATGAACATTTGCATTCTCTAAGTGGATGGTTGAAGTATAAGCAGTTGAAATTGAATACAAGTAAAACTAAATTTATGGTAATTTTGCGGAATCGAGTAAATGAGAACGTCTCTGTTGTAATTGATGATGAGACTATTGATCGCGTTCGGGAGATTAAATATCTTGGCGTGATTATTGATGACACACTTAAGTTCAACTCAAACATTGACAATGTCGTCAAGAAAATTGCCAAGAAGTATGGAATTCTATGCCTACTGAAAAACGATTTAACTATTGCCAGTAAAATACAGCTATACAAATCAATCGTCTCTCTTCATCTTGACTTTTGCCCTTAAATTTTATTTTTGGCCAATGCAACACAAATATCGAATATTACAGCGCTTGCAGAATAAAATAATGCGTTTGATTTTGAGATGCAATAAATTCACTTCCTCAACTTTGATTGTATATTTGACTATGGTGTTCATTTTTAAAGTAGTTAACGGTTTGCTGCCTCAATATTTGTGTGTGATCGAATTGAAAGAGGAGGTGACTTTCATAGATATAATACTAGAAACGCGGCTGAAATAAGAACACCACATTTCTTGACTTGTGCTTCACAAAATTCATTATATTACAAAGGAATAAATGTTTTCAATTCGATGCCTAGACATATCAATCGCTTAGCAACACTTACAGAATTTAAACGACACTGTATTTCACTCGTTTAAACTGTCTTTTGAACAGTTATCCAGTGATTTTTTTTTTATGAATTGACAATTTATGTATCTTGACGAAGTTTTCTCTAACGGATTATTTTATATGGATAGCTCTCATAACGACTTTTTAATAATTATTGTAGCACTGCAAAAACTATTTCTGTTCGCCACGATGGTGATGATGGAATTTTAATATTTGATTTAATAATATATTTATTTAACAAAAAAAGTAGTCTACAAAGGTTTGAGCCTCCCGCGCATATTACGGATATAGAGGACTGAATTAAATATTTGATAAAAAAAAATACAATTTTGAAGCATATTTGGAAGATACCTTCAGTTAGTAGTAAGTTTTCTGGCAAATGTTGGGGGTTCGTGAGCACTCCTGACATTGCCGAAAATTATGATAGCATCAGATTGCGGGGTCTCATTTATTTACCACACAAAATTGACGTTGTTCATCGGATACCATTTCAATACCGATTTTGCATAGTGTCACGAGGCTTAATCTGGCTAAAACCATCGTGTTGCTTCGAAACTGGAAGTAGACGTTTTTGAAGACAGTCATTTAGATTCATTTCTTGATTCACAGTTCCGGTTGTGACGAAAATCTCACTTCGTTTCAGCAAATACAGATTTCTGCCCACAACGGCGCCGGTGGTGTAGTGGTAAGCGTGATTACCTCTCTCCCCAGCAGGCCTGGGTTCAATCCCAGTCGGCGCCGCCGGGATGTTCTGAGGCATAACATCTCTGATCACGCCTTCCTTCGGATGGGAAGTAAAGCCGTTGGTCCCCGGTTCATGAGTTGATGGGTCGATAGGTAGGGTCCAGGTGTGGGAGCTGCCTTCCTGGCACGTCGGTAGCATTGGTGCTCAGCACGGAAAACAAGATCGACGGAAAAAACAAACCAAAGGAAAAAAAAAAAAAAAGATTTCTGCCCAGGATAATATTGGATTTTCACGGTGTGCGAGCAAAGACGTTGCACGGTTGCTTAGCTGTTTTGGTTCCATTTTGAAATCTACACAACAGAATCTCACCAAATTTACAGTTAAGCCAATTTATTTCAAACTAATCAGTGATGCCAGTTCTTTTTCTGGTCAATTTAGTGTATGTCAGCTCTTGATAATGATAAGGGGACCAAGGCGTCCTACTGGAGACATATGCAGTAATGACCCGATTTTGCCAGCCCCTTTTTTTGAAAATCTTTTTAATTTTCTAAGAAACCCATGCGATTTTTCAGTGGTCTTATTGGGCCAAGTTATACCTTAAACACCGATCTTGAAGATGCATGAGAATGATTTGGATTTAAGGAGGGGTTATCAAAATTGGGTCATACCCACTAAAGACTTATTAAAATCTAACCGCTTTAAGTACTCATGCCCTTGGTAAAAATGTCAATATCACAGGTATAAAAATGAAACTACAATGTGTAGAACCTACCTAACTAATAACCAAAGATCGAAGTGATGTAAAGGAAAAAATCTATATAATATTTTTTTCTATATCTGACGTGCAACTGTTCAAGTGCTCATGATGTCAGTTGAACATTTGATAATGCTCTGTACAGGGCCGTTGCAGATCCGAACTCAGGATGTTTGTTTAGGTGGTAAACTCTCAGTTGTGTGTCTCTCCTCCTGGTTCTTTCGGTCCTCATCACATTCCATGAGGATAGTCTTAAAGAGAAAGAGATAGCACAACTAATTCTCGCTATTATTCATGTTTGCTTCAACATAAAGCGGGAGTTATTCAACATAGGGATGCCAGGTGTATTTAGACATTTAGACCGCTACATTTTAAATTTTCGGGCGGAGGATGGTGTTCATGTTCAATATTTCAGATTTACAAAACAGAGTCTTACCAGAAGTTCAGGAGCCTTCATAAAAGTCAAAAGCAATTCGTAAAACTTAGAATAACATTATTTTATTACTTGGAATTTCGGAGAAGCTCGGAGAACTTCTTGAAAGTAAATGGAACGTTGTTGAATTAAAGGGTGATAACTAAAAAAGAGAATTTTCATTTGGGTCCATGAACAAACACGTGATTGAGAAGAAAAGTGATTTATTTCAAATGAAGCTACGACACGTTTCTACCAAAAAAAAAAATGAACATTAGAATAAAGTCCATTATCAGCTGTTTGACGTGGTTTTGTCATTATGTGAGAACATGAGCGTTGTACAGCATTTAAATCGATTTTACAAATGCAATTTTTGATTCGCATATCAGCTGATTACAGTTGTCGGCCCTCCATTTTTTTTTGTATACCAACGAACTCATATTTCTAAAAAAAAAAAAATCTTCAATTGGGCGATACTGAGATAGGGTAAGTTTGTTGGATTGCGGTGTTTTGGTACATACGATGATATTTTGATTTACCGAGAAGGTTAGTGTTTTCATAACATAATGCGATGATGCTCTATCCGGTCAAAATACGTAGTTTCCGTCTGCGTGATATTTTTGAAGAAATTGATTTTGGTACACTTCGTGGTTGATAGCCTAAACGCTAAGCTTGAACCATGGCTTAGAAATTCCCCTTTCCGAGATGGCATATAGTTAC